GCTCATATGCCACTTTGCAGAGTGGCATGTGCCTGCCTTGGAGCATCGCAGGAGTTGCTAACAGGAGCCTTGCTAAGGACTCACAAACATGAGCTCCTACAACGCCACACAGCTATAACCCACTGCATCATTAACTGGCCACAGCTTCAAGCAGACCTAGTGCCTCAATACTGTGTGTGGAAGCCAGGCACAAGAACTGTAGAGGCTGTTAGCCGTAAGATCACCCTCTTTGTTGCTGTAATTGAGCCAGGTCCAGCATCAGGAACCCAGCAGCTGCTGCTCAGGAAGTCTGCTCCACACTGCCCATTACCTCCACTCAGCTCGGGTCCCCACCCAGGGCTTCCAACCAGATCACCAAGCCACGCTAAAAATACCCAGCTCACAAAACCAGCTCTTGGCTGTAGCCACTCCACCCTCAAAGTACAGAGACTAACTATACTGCCTTCTGCAAACAAAAGGAGAATTCAGTCCTCCATCTATTTATAAGCTGCTTATTCACAGCTTGCAAGCACAAATTCTTTTCAGATGAGGAGCTTGGGGGAAGAGATTATGCTTTTTCTGGTTCCATGTTACACAGAGCCCAGCACCCAACCTGGTCATTCCTTCACCGTCTGAGGTTTTTCCTCTTTCTTTCAGCTCTCACATCTAGTCTTGTGGCTATCTTGCCCACCAGCATGCAGAGCGTGATGCAATCCCACTCCCGTGCCACACTGAGAACACCAGTTTGTTGGTAAAGCCAGGCGTGTGCCAGGTGTATTCTGGTCCGACTAGTATAAAGGCATTTTTATATTAATATAAATGTTTATATCTTCCTTACTCCACTTCTGACTCATAGCATATCTAGAGGACGAAAGGCATCACTGGACACCTTGTCTAGGCAAGCATTCCCAGCTCTTGGCTATGCTGGAAAAACAGCAATAACGAGAACAGTGGAAAACGTCTGGCTAAAGACCAGGTTAAAAGTCTCCCTGTCTTGCTGCCCAGCCCTATGGCAACTGCCTCACTTCAGTAAGATCTCCCAGTGCTGCTTGCCTGGCTTCTGGCAGCTTCTCTGACACTTCCATCATAAGCCTGGAGAAGTCTTCAAAATCCACCACAAAATAAGCAATGCATTAGTCCACCTTCCACAACTGGCTTAGTGAGTTGCCTGCAAGCCACAGGTTGGTTGTTCAATACACTAGATATCCAGAAGCCACTAGATATCTAGAAGCCTGCTAGCCAACTCTATGTACCTTATTAAAAAGACTGTGTTTATTAAAAATTTCCTGTCCAAAAGTGCAGAAGCAAGTATTAATAGCATTAAAGTGATGGATGTCTCTGTGGCATTTGTCCACACTTACCAACAGGAACTTCAGCTCAGCTAACAGCTCTGCATTTCAATACCCAGAAAGACTGGGACAGCATAACCTGGAAGCTTTCAGCTAACAGACCTGGAGAAGCACTAAGCAGATGTGCTGGTTTTAAAGCCAGCCAGCTCCACCAACAATGAATAAGTGACAATGTCGCCTTCTGCATTCCACCTGCACCTCTGGGTGGCCAGCCTGTGCTGAAGCTATCATTACAGCACTTAAAGAGGTGCCACAAAGATACTGGCTCATCAGTACCACACCCACAGCAACTCTAGGCCAAATTCAGCCTCGTCTTCCTGGAGGTGGGAGAGCGGTGCGGGACCAGCTAAGCACACCTCATCCCCTTGGCCAACCCCTTGTGATGGTCTGTCTGCAAGATGCGTATTCTGGTAACAGAGCTCCTCCTTTCTAAGCCAGGAAAAGGCTGAGATTCAGAAGGACTGCTTGAAGAAGTCCTTCCCTTTGTCGGTAAGTGGTTGGATGGGCAAGGCTATCTTTTACAGCAGTACTTGGTGGAGAAAGGAGTACGGAGACTTTTGATCAGCTCACATTGGGAACAGAGAGCAAGTAGAGTTACCGGTCAAAGCCACTGCTGTGATGCTGCAGCATCTCTCAGGATGGCACCATCCAGGAAGGATTCCTGGAGGCTCTTAAAGCATCTGTCAGAAACAAACAGATGTACCACAATGCGTCTCTCCTGTATGACCACATCTCTGATGGGATGAGTTCAATTCCTGCAGGAAAGGAGCTGTATCACTGGTTTAGCAAACCCTCGCAAAGCCCACTGCTCTGTGTCATGAAACACTCAAAGGGCATCTCGGCTCTCCAGGAGGGCAGAGCAGGGAAACATGCCAAAACCAACTGCAAGGGAAGAGCTTCATTACTAAAGAAAGACTAAAGCAAATCTTATTTGCTATGTGCTCGAGAAAGGTATTTGGCAGATAACATCTGACTGCACAGAGCACAAGCCTGCTTCCTTGCCTGTTTTAGCATACTATCTCTAACCTGCAGTCAAGCGTTTTCAGACAGGTTTGTCCATCTCTATTCTTACCACCCCCTAGTATTCTTTTTGCCACATGAAGCCACAAACTAGCAAGAAAGTAAGCCATGAGAGTTGGCAAAACACGTCCTCTGCAGAGAAGCAAGTCAATCTCTTGCTTATTTAATCCTAACGTGATGGTGCAGCTGGGCTTGTCCTCTTTGTGTCTCTTAAGAAAAATCACGTTTTTTACCTTTAGCTCTGCACTTCAGGTTGGCATATTTTAACTAACTGGAGCTAAGAGTCCAGAAAACTTGTGCTCTTATAATTTTTGCCTCTATTTATGTGCAATTCTTGCACATTTTGACAGTTACCTGTTCACAGCTGGCTCAACTTCTGACAAAGAAGTCTTCTGCACTTGGGACTGTCTGCTTGATCAGGCTTTTGCACCACAAAAGAGAAGAAAAAACTAAAACAATGGGACGTCACTAACACAAGAGCCAAAAGGTGACTCAGAAGGGTAAAGCCACTTGACTTGCTTTTGTAAACAAATCGATTTCAAGTATTGGGGGAGTGGGCGTGGAATTAAAGACTGTTAAGCATTGATCAAGATTTTACAATTCAAAGTTCAGAAAAGCAGTACAGCAGAACCTGCTGAGTGCACAGACACAACCAGTCCTGTGCCATTTTCACATGTCACCAGTCAAAAATCTAATATTAGACCCACACACATCAATAGCCACTCCACACTAGCTTAGTAGGCCAACTACAATATTTTGTCCCTACCCTGCTTTGATCCTATCTGTTAAAGAAGCCTTTGGAAATCATAACCATAGGAGCCTTTACAGGGTTACCAGAGCTCAGAACCTTTAATATCTGCACACCAGTTTGGAGAGAGGGAGCAAGTGCAGAGCCATGGAGGATCTAAAACCAACAGTGCCTTATACAGAGCTCTCTGGCCAAGTGATAGAGCTTTTCCCCCCGTTTAAAAGGATCCTGGAACAAGGAAGAGTGGACTTCTTTAGTCCTCTGCCTCAAGGCAAGCATTTCCTCAATTAAAATACTGCATGGATTTTAGTTTCTGCAACTACTCCACAGGCTACAAGAGGACTAACTTTCTCCCATTATATTTATTCATTTACACTCGTCAGGCTGGAGAGGGCCACATATTTGACCTGTAGCATACACTCTCCATTCATACTGGCAGGCAATGAATATAACCTGAATTAAACAGAGAACATGCTACACAGCCTCAGCATGTGCCCAAATGCTGTGCAATCAAAGAATTATGTGTGTATCCCCCGCCCCTGCCCTTGCTAAAGTAATCAGAGCAGTAAATTATCCTTAGGGGCTCTATCAGATCAGGTTTCAAAGTTGATCATTTCCCTGCACAAGAACACAGGCTTAGCTTAAAACCAAAACAAAACATAAAAAGCAGGCACATTCTCCCCATTCTCCTAAGACTCTAAAGTTGCTGTGTGTTGCTTAAAATAAAATTAAAAAAACATACCACAACAACCCGCACTATCTGTGCTTCTCACATTGTGTCAGAATGAAAAGGCTTTAGCGCACTAATTCTACCCAAAATTGCATCAAGGGCATTTCACCAGTCCAGCAAGAAAATTGTGTCTGCATCGCCTGCCAGAGCTGCTGACAGCAGTCACAGCGAGCAGGGAAAAAAACCCAGTTACACAGCCTGTCCTCACACTCCCCTCTCACTCAGCACCGAAATGCTGACCCCTGTCTCCCTATGATGGGTAGCAACTTGCACTGTCATCCACTTGCTGAATTTTCAAAGAGCTGGTCTTTTCCCACTGTTTGGGTGACATACCCTTCAAGTTATTTTGTTATCTTCTCTCCATTCCCTCCCTTAAAACTTCCCAGCTCGTGATGGCAAGAGAGAGTTTAACCAGAGCAAGGCTGCAGATGCACGGAGCCATTACATGCCACTCTGCCATCCGCTACGCCCTTGTCTGCACCCACATGCCAGCATTTATCTCACACTCAGGCTGGAAGCTCCAGGGTGCAAGGGCTGCCTTTCTACTTTGCTGTTTGCACAACACATAGCACAGAGGCCTTCACACGCTGATAGGCTTCAGGTACTTTAACAGTACAAACAGGAGTTGTGCAATGCCCTGGGGGTTTCAAACAGCTTGTCTCTCTGTCCCTGCTTCTCATACCAGTTCTGCAAATGGGCAGTGAATATTTGTTTGTGCAAACCGTACCACTGTGTGAGGAGATCAGAGCTTGCTTCAGCCAGAAAGCATTCCTTGCAGTTAAGGTCCTTGGAAATCCCCTTGCAGAAGGAGTGCCTTGGTAAATCACACAGCCGTAATGCCATTCATCACTGGCATGATCAATTAAGGCTTGTGTTTTAGAGGTGCACAAAATATCCAGCCCTCTCCCCACTACAGAAGATTAGTCTGATTTGGCTTGGAAAAGGAATTTTACCCTTCTAAGTGAATCCTCCCAGACAAGTTCTTGAACTGGGAAGAAGCAGTCAGGATAAGAGTAAAATTCATTACACTTCTCACCTTTGCTGTTTTCAACAAAAGTCCTCACTACACGAAGCTGCTCTCTAGCCTGCACCAACGATGGGTCACCTCACAGAGACTCCCAGTGCCTGCTTTTTGCTCATCTTCATCTCCTCTTCTCCCACTCTTGGGGCTCACCTGTAGTCATGGGTGAGGGTGACACAAGACTCCTCCTTCCTCAGTCTGGCCAGGAGCGCTCCACCCTCCAGCTGCAGCCTGACCAGCCGTGCGTCTTCAAGAACGTTCTTCATCAACTGCCTATAATTCCTCAGCAGCACAGCTGCCTCCTGGAAGGATCACAAAAGTGAGATGAGCAGTTAGTGCAACCTACAGGCAACAACCAGTGCCCAGCCCAAAACACACACAAACCACATCTCACCTTGGCCCAACCTAGGAAAGAGGGAGGATGGTTGCCACAGCTGTTTCTCTCAAGCCTGTCAAGTCCAAAGTGATAAACAATGCTCCTTACGCTCTCTGTACCTTCCTCACCAGGCTAAAATTGAAACCCAATTCCTATCATTGTCCATACTCCATTTACTGGGCATAGAAATAAGCTTTCCAGCCTCATTTTTCACTCACAGCTAGCTCCTGCTGTTCTTAGAGCCTGGACCTGCATAGCTCCAAGCTGTGGGACAAGATGCATATGAAGGGTTTGCAGATATACACATGTATGCAGGAAGGCCCAGAGAGGCCACTACAATATCTTCCTTTGCTTTACTGTCAGGACCCTTAGTGCAGAGCTGGCAGCAATCTCCTACCACATCAGGGGTACAGCAGCTTCTCAAGAGTGGGGGAACATAATGATTGCAACAACACAGGCTCAGTCTTTGTACCCTCCTCTTCTTGTCTGCTTCTGTTTTGGAGGCAGCAAAGCGGGAACCACAGCACAGATTTGGCGTGGTGAACACTGTTATGTTGTCGCCTAACTTTATTCCAGGCCATTCAAGCCAACTTGGTGTGGCACAGCCTGAGGCAGCTGCTCAGCACTAGAGATGTCAAAGCTAGTACCAGCTACAGAGCTGTGGAGCTGCTAAGAATGCACTCCAATGCTGGAGCAAGCAGCCATCAGCAACAAGCACAGCTGAAGAGATCTCCTGGGTGACACTGAGGGATCAGAGAACCAGCTTCTACACCCAGTAGAGCCTTTATCACTTAATTTGGATTAGCTTCTACTACTCCCACTGTCCTGACAGCTCCGCAGTGACACACAGCACTCAGAATACCCTGCTACTAGAGTTTGTAAATTCAAAGCTAGGGCTTTTCTGCAGCCATCCAGCCTCCTTCTCTCTTCTGACTCAGGACTACCTCTAATACCAGGTGAGGGACATGCTTACCTCAGCTCTTTCTGGTAATTTTCCATGTTCCACTTTATGAATAGCTCCCTGGAGGAAGGCACAAGCACCTTGGCATCCTTGTAGCAAATGTTCCAGCTTCTACAAGAAGAAAGGACCAAGGCAGAGATTATGGTCTTACAGCTGACAGGAAAGCTGCCTTTTCAGCTTGCAGGTTAAAAGTACAGAAATCAAGAGAGGATCAAACACATTAACCCAAGGGTTCAATTAAACCATTTGGTGAGGCTGTATCAGCAAAGAGAGGCCCATCAGAGGCTTCAGATGCATCATGCTATACCAAGGCCTCTATGCAGACCTTATAAACTTGCATACTCGTGGCTTGTATGGGTCATGCTTTACAGAAAAGAAAACCAGTCCACTTATGTCCCACAATCTTCTACTATTAGCATGTCTTGTAACTTCCCACTAAGATGAATCATTATGCATGAATTTTGGAGGAACAAAACATAGAACGAGTACTTGGAATTTCTCTACTTTAAATCATTTTTCTTCATATTAAAAGTAGTGTAAATTAAAGATTAGGAAACTGTAAAGCTTCCACAATTAAGCACCTTAAACTACTGACAAATCTGAAAACCCTCTTCTGTTCGGCTAGAGGGGACTGGGGGGGAGACGGGGGGACGGACGACACCCAAACCCCCAAAAAACCCCAAACATTTCACAGGGGTTCACAAGACAGTACATTTTAGAAAAGTCAGTGATATAAAGCCTAAATACTGTCAGATGCCACCCTCTAGCCACTGAAATCAGAGAAGGGAGAAACAGCTATTCCAAAACAACCGCACTCGAAACAAAACAAAAAAGCAGCTGTTTGAATCTTTACTGAATTGAATTCCCTCCTCCCTGGAATGCTGGAACAGCCCCAGCAGTAACAGATTAGCAGGCAGGATGCAGGTGAGATCACCAAGACAGGAAATAAACTCTGTTTGCCACATAGCTGCAGATCTAAAGGGGTAGAGTATATGGGTCATTATCACACACAGTACATCATATAAATAGGCAACCCATACAGATTGATTCCTACACTAACTCCTTTTGGTAACATTTTGCATGTTAAGATGCAAGACACAAACAAGAAGTAGTCTGATATCATGCTCCTTCCTTCAAGAATGATCCTTCTGCACAGAGCGAGCACCTCAGCTCTCAAGCTTTTCTCAACTCTGTCCAGAAAACTAATGCATAACCTCTTGCAAAGCTTCTCTGCTTTCTCACTGCCAAAGAAACCTCAAAGTCTCAAATTCAATCCTAGGCACCAAGATTAGGTTTCTGTAGCTCTACTGCATCAGCATGGGTTCATACTAGTACTTTTGGATGCAAATTTAAAAAATAGCTTCTAAAATAATTTGGAAAAGATAAATTAACATTTGGCACATGCTAAGCCTAACTGCTGAAGTTTGCCACCAGCAACACAGTGGTGTTATCAATGATATCTTAACCTGCTTCAAATGCTGCAGTGGGCCACACAGCACTCTGGGCAGTGAGGTCAGAGCCAAAAGACCACTGAATCTTTTGGAAGCAGAAGTGATGGTTCTGTCATCCACTAGGGTGAGCAAGTCAAACTCAAAGTGAAGACAGCTGATTTGTGCGCAAATTTACGGAGATTTAATCCTGTCTAGTCTCAGTGTGCCAAATATCTCTCAATACAGCTTTTAAAGATTCAACAAGCACATGATCCACAGGACTTACGCCCCCTTCACAACATGAGTGTACACAGAGCCGAGCATTGGTGCCACAGATGCTGCCTTTGCAGACTTCTGGCAGTCTGCACATACCCTGCTGCATGGCCAGCAACACCTGCAGTCCTGCCACAGATCATCAGCATGTGCTGCACTGGTGCCTGCAGCACCCTTTGCCAGGGCTACCTTCTTTATGAACTGTGTCTGGGTGCTGCACTTTCAGGCCTTCTATCTCTGAGGCTTAATCTGGGTCAGCTCAAACATTTCCACAGAGTGGTCAGCCTCCCTGCACCTTGTGGTGGCTCTAATCCGCACCTGGGTAGGGTTCACTGTAGAGTTCTTGATCCATGACTCTTCTGGAGCAAAGCGTAAAGGTCAGACAGGATCATGGTACCAAGGCATACTCAAAACAGCCAAACAACAGAAAGAAGGAACGTATTGCTGGTGCTGCCTCCCACTGTTACCTTGGTCCTAAGACTCACTGAACGGAATCTGCACAGGGAGGCTTTAGTTTCCTTGCCTCACGTAGCCAGCTCTCAGAGGAATATGATGCTCCCCTGGGCTGAACCTTCTCTGTATTTTTAGTTTAGATGCTTTCTAAAGAGTTCTCGATGACAACTTTGGTAAATAAGTCAATTACATCTAAAGGAGGAAAAAGATGTCCCTAGAAGTATCTGAACTGATTATCAGGAACTTCCAAGTCTCACTCCTGCAAGGACTGCAGTTTTTACTAAGGAACTCCCAGCTTGGTCTGGGGAACCTGCTCCAAAACCAACAAGATCTAACTATTTTTATTTTGCTCAAGTTCTTGATTGTTAGTTCAATGGCAACATGATACTAACACCTTCTCCTGAGGTTAGTCTGCCCTTAAGTCTCTGAGTATAACCAAAGTGAACTGCCCCACTGTGTATCACAACAAAACAGGATTCTGTTTCAGATTTGACCATATTTTGAAGGGAAAGAAGAATTAATGCAGTTCATGCAGATGAGTTAAAACCTAAAATTTTAGTTCCTGCAGTCATGCCAATAGGCCATAATGTGCATCCATTTTATGAAGACAGTATTAGTATTCTTTCGATAACAGAGATTCATTCGCATACATAGCTATTACAGGAACCACTGTCTTTTAATGCTTGTAGGTTCAGCTGTTGACAGGCTCCTCTTGCTTCAATTCTGTTACCATACCATTTCTTCTCTCAAATACCAAAGAATACAAGACATCCTACTCACCATGCGGAAGCTTAACCAGTCCCGGTGGCAGTAAGGGAAGGTCCCATCCAGTTCTAGAGGCAGCTGTGAGCTGTCTATGTGCTTATGGAGGGATTTCATGGAGGTGAGAAGTTCAAACTGCACAGGAATAGAAGAAATAAAAGCACATTTCCATTAGAGTGCGAGTACTGGAGGAGGAGGGGAAGGTTAACAAAAGACAGGATCCTTTATTTCTTTATCTATCTTGCATAGAAACAAGGCACACAGCGTATATCTGCAATATCACTACAATATGAAGGAGGGAAAAAAAAGTCAATTCAATATTAGAGCTGGTTGCTGTACAGCTTAGTGGGCGAACCCTGAGGTAATGCAGGCCACAACATGCTGTTTCACCAAGTATAACATCTGTGATGGAAGTCTGACAGCAGCCAGCCTTCTCCAGAGCCAGTACCTCCTAGTACAAGCAGAGCAACTCCCTCATATGTTCCCATGTAGTGCTGCAATTTGCATTTGTCTGGAGAGTCTGAGAGGTTAAATCCAGCTCCCAGCTTCCCCATCTCACTTCCTGGAAAAAGAGTCTAACAGAGCAGCCTCTGCCCTACCTCCAACTCTCCACGCATCACAGCAGCTCTTTGCTCCAAGCGTTTCCTGGATCTCGACACAGATAACTTGCCTTCTGGGAGTCTGTAGGACCTCAGAGCATTTTTATACTCACCAGAGAAACAGACAAGTGCTCCTGCAGGTACATGGAAGCCAGCCCAGACACAGAAACTCAGGTGCAGACATTTAACCCCTCCACACACACACCGTTAAGTCTCCACCTCCTTACAAAATAGTGATGATGCTTCCAATTCCTCCTGCACGCCTGTGTCTCTATTAGCCTTTGCTCTGTTCCCTCCTACACACTTTGTAATTGTTCAATGTGTTTAATGTCTTCTGTAGCTCTCCCTGCATGCACACACCTGCAGCCCCCTTTCTGACTTCAAATTCTTCCACATGGGGGCAACGAGGAAATGGACTAATAGCATTTGTTATTCTTAAGCCTTTTGAGGCAGCACACCACACACACAGCAAACCTGATGCTATTCACAGTGTCTTCATCCACAGGAGCCAAAAGGGAGGTCCTGGCCTACTCTGAAGTCTACAGGGTTTCAGCAGGCACAGAAGTGCCATCCACTCTTGTAGCTTATAACAGTCTTAGAGCAGAGGGAGATAATAAGATGCAGTCTCATGCTCTATTCACTCACCACAGAGTGGCTGAGAGTCTACATTTTTTATACAGCTATGGAATACTAAGGCAGATGTACTTCTAGTGGGGGTGTTCAGTGATGTTGTGATGATTTTCCCTCGTCCATTAGCACGTCCTGTTAGTCTTCCCAGACATTTCAGCTACAAAGGGAACCTCACACACATAACCATCTCCTCTTCCCCCTCTCGCAAAGTGCTCTCAGCCACTGACAGCAGCAGCTATGAGGACAGGAAACACAAGATATGGAAAATCCAGGAAAGCAACAAGTACCTTCAAAGGATGGAGTTCAGGATTTAGCCTAATGTGATCTCTTCCTGACCAGGGATTTCCCCCTTTTTAACAGGAGAACGTGAAAAGCATCTCTATTACTGTTAATTGTGCAGAGCTCCTGCATACAGCTATCCATGTTCCCAACAAACCCTGGGTGTCTTGAGGGCCCCAGCAGACTGACATAATTATGGCGCAAATGTCACCGATGGACTTGGCAATAAACAGAGCATGACAGAGATCTGTTCAGCTCACATAAAGTTTACAACCCTATAAATACCACACCCGTAGGAGACCACAACCATAAAATACAGAGAACAACTAGAGATTTCATGTGAGAATAAACATACATCAGCGGACAGAGAACTTGCTGTTCAGAGAGTTAAATAAAGGATATCAAGAGCTCCCCAGCAACCCCTGGATGAACGGTTCCATTACCTGCCCTGCTGGTGGCTTCTCCATCCGAAACGTCAGATCCCTTTCAACCAGAAGCAGTACTCCATGAATACAATGAGGATCTATGTCCTACAACAGAACAGAGCACAAATCCATTACCGATCTGCCTGGGATGCTAAGGAGAATGTGCCATACCAGGTTTGTACAGGAGATTGCAATTTATCCTTCAAAGGTATTTATGAAGCCTGGAAGGCAGGCACCAGGTGTAGGGAAGGCCATTCTACAGAGCATGAAAGCTATGTCTGAAGGTAGTTTGCTTCAGATCAACTAGTCGTGCAGTATTTAAGGAAGCAATGAAAAAGGTCAGGTCTTGGCCGTACTAAAAATGCTCTGACTTCTACACAAGGAAATGTGTCAGGGGAAAAAGAAAGAACCATGTTCAACGTCCAAGTTTTTTCTTCATAACTGTCCTGGTCACTTCTCCTAACTGAACAGAAGTTTTTTTTCCCCCCACAGTGCCAAAAAAGTTGTCTTGTCTTTGCTTACTGCCAACCCACAATCAAGGGCTTGCATCCTGTTGCTACTGTTAAACCGACCGAAATTCCAAATATAAGGGATGTCTGGCAACTGTAGTTCAAACTCCGTGATCCAGGAGCAGCTCTCCAATTATAGAACCACTCTACAGGGAAGTGAGAAACAGGCAGAGAGCAACAGCAGGAAGAGGGAAACGTAGCAGAGAGATCCAGACCATGGAGTCAGGGCCCACTATATAAGTGATGCCTGTACCAGGATAGCAAGGAGAACAGCCATTTAAGCTGTTGTTCCACATGGTTAAGTAAGAGCCATCCTATCTAGCTATCTCCTAGATGGTCTTTGCCTTTGCAAAGATCTCAGAAACTGTCAAGCAACAAACCCTTTCTGGTATTGCTCGACCTGCAAGGAACTTGCCACACAGCAGGCCATGACAACAAGAGAAACCTGTTTAAATAAATGGCTCCAGCAGTGTTTAGGGTTAAATATCTGACATGAGCAACAGAGTCAGAGGCAAGTGGACCAGCAGAGACTGAGCCACCTAACCTGACACTGGGCCCAGTACAGCAATTAAGAAACAATGCCAACACAAGAAGACCCAATTCTGCAAGTGAAAGCAGCAGCAGAGATTCCAGAGCAGAGGAAAAGACCTTTCATTCATCTAGTCCGAAAACAGGATCCTTTTGAACAGGCAGGAAAAAATCCCAGCTGAAACACCTTCCAAAACCATGAGAGGTTTCTAAGTCTTCTCAAATCCCTTTCTCCAAAGCAAATTCTTCACACTTTCACTGCTACTTGAAGACTGATCAAAAGGCCAAGAAGAATTTATTGCCTAATTAGGCTGTATTAGCCAAATACTGAAGCTCATCTGAAGAAAGGATGGGAAGGTATTACAGCTGTATCAGCAGCTCTGAATTTGACTGCTAGAAAGTACTGAAAGGTGAAGACTAGCCACAGTTTCAAGACAGATCATGGCACTAAATAAATTTATTCTTTCACAATGCCTCTTCTACTCCAACAGTCATGAGATGTACAATCTGAGTGAGGGATAAAAGGTAGTGATGGTGTAACACGAGGTTACAACAACAGCCAAAACACTCACTCACTTGTTTGTTACTCCTGAAAATAGAAACTGAAAAACCTTTCACAAATAAAGCTGTCAGGGGAGAGGTTCAGGGTTTTCCAGTCCAAGAAGAGGTAATGTTTCCAAAGAAATAAAGTTTTTTTCACCATATTTTTAGATTTAAACAGCTGAAGTCAGTCTCATCCAGCACTGATGGGGCAATCCAAATTGACTATAACAGTTTACAGGAGTGCCTTGGGAGACAGGCAGAGCTGGAAGCAGCAGGAGGCTACTTGAGGAAGCTTTCCCGCAGCCTTCTGCACAATCTCTTACCGCCTTTGCTAACAAAACCAGCTATCTGGAAGCAAAGAAACAGAGTCCCACACATGTAAGTGGACTTCTCACCTCCCAAAACAGGCACAGCATGGACCGTGTAGAATAGAGGGGCATCAACAGGAGCTCAGAAAGCACCAGGGTAAATACCCATCCCTTTGTTATTATTCTTTAAAAAGAGAATTAGATACTTTCTTCCACCTTTCTCAGACTGAAGTTTCAAACAGTCTTCTGGCTTCCTGACCCAAATGGAAGCCCATGGTCAGACTTAACATCACTGGCACAGTTTGAAGCACAGGCCACCAGGAATGCCTGTGCAGATAGGACAGTCCCCAGATACCATGCTCAATCTCAGAGTGGCCACTTCTAATGGAGTAGTAGGAGGTCCCTGGTCTTCAATGTCAGACCAAGGTCCTCTGTACTTCTGCACTAACAGGGCATGTAAATATACCCCTTGAACAGAAAGGTTTGCACAGAATTTTTCTGCTTTGAACTCCTACTGTATTTCTGTCTTCATAAACAGACTCTTCCCTTCCCAATCCAACACACAGATGCAGCAGATTACAGGATCAAGCCTTCGCACTGATATGCGAAATTCAAAAGACTCTTGCTCTGTAAAGACTCAGGCAGAGGGAAATCCCAGATACCTGTTCACTGAAGGCCAGCACAAGCATTCTACTGTCCATTCCCTGCCTGCTCCCTGGGGATCAGGACCCTGCCTGACCAAGGGATCAGCCCAGCACTACTGAGCAGCAAAGATCCTCTGAACAGACCCCATAGCACAGAGCTTACTGGTGACAACCTGTAACCAAACATCACAGCAGCATTTACCTCTGCAAAAATCCTTGCTCCAAAGCATCGTTATGCAGCTTCCCACAGGAACAAGCATGATCTATTCTTGCAGCACATACGCACTGTACATTTCCCCTCACCTCCATACAAAGCTGCCAGAGTTCCTCCTTGTTCCTTCCTGAGTTAGCTCTGCTGCAGTGCTTTATTCTGTCCCTGCTCCCTCTGCTCCCAGTGCTGTCTGGGACAGAAGGATTTCCCAGCCACCCATACTCTAAAACGGAAGGGGGAAGAAAGCCTTGCAGAACACAACTCCCCCCACCCTGAAAGCAGAGAGGATGAGCAGCTTTTACTAGTTTACTAGATGACTAGACAGACCAAGTGACTGTCTCCCAGTGCTGTAGGGAAAGCTACCTGCAAGCACCAAAAGTTGTTTATTAGCACTTTAAAAGTCCGTTCATGCATTTATTCCGTAAAGATGGAAGAGTGGAGTAAGTATTTCCTCAGACTGACAGATCTTGACCCAGAAACTTGTGGTATCAAAGTCTTCCCTCCCCAGGGAGGTTCTCTAGGGTTAATAGATCCAAGCACTGCAGCAGGAAGGGACTCTGCATTAGGTCATCCCATCTGTGCTTACCCACGGTGAAGCAGTGCTCCTCACTGCTCAGGAGGAAAACGTCCCTTCAAAATCAAACAAGCAACACTGGATCTCAACATTTAACAGATTCCACCCACACCATTATAGTAGGCTTCACAAAAGCCATGTAAATAACATCCTGTTAAAGTGGAGAATAGAACAGCAGAGAAATGAGCTACAGAGAGTCTGCCACAGATACGAGACACTGGGAGATGCGTCAGGGATTTCAGAAAGGACCCCAAGGAGATGATCTGCTTTGTGACCTTACAGGCACAACATACAGTCTGTGCTTCTGTATCCACCAGCCAGCAAACCTTGCTGTGCTCTAGAAAGCCTAGCTTGCCTCACTGTAGTTGCAGTCAGTTTTCTGCATTTATCCTTGTTTCAGAGCAGATGAGAGTACTGCCATGGGATCCCAGAGATAAATGCTAAGGATCTCCAAAAGGCTCAGAGGAACCAGGGGATTATTCCTGTGCCATAACCAGATGATGAGCTAGCTAACAGGTCTTGTTTACAGAGTCTGCGGAAGAGTCAGGGTAAGGACTGAAAAACCACAAGCAGAGTAATCAGCCTCTGTCAGTTACTGGTACCTGGAGCACAAACTCAGCTCCAGCAATCTGTCTTGCAGCACATTAATCCCTGTTAACTAACTGTTGCACCACCCTGAGAAACAAGGTACTCGGAGCCAAACAGCCATCGCAGCAGGATATTAGAGAGGCACTGCAAAAAACCTTTCCCCCAGCCCCTCTTTTCAGAGGGTAGGAAACTTAAGGTTAGAATGGCTTTATTCCTGCCATGCTTGGATGAGAGTGGGGTCCCAAAAAGCACATTGCGTCTCAATGTGTTGCCGATTTCCAAATCATTCCACTAAGACACAACGATGCAACCATGGGCAATGAAACACTCAAAAGCATTAGCAAGCCCACTGCCAGGTGGGCACGGCATAAAAAGAGAAGATAACTTCCTTGTTACCTCTGCAGAACTGACCAGAGCACCAGATTACTTCACCAGAGAGAACGAGCACACTGATAGAGCTCACAGCTCCACCCAGCCCAGGAAGCAGGAAGGCAGACCTCTGACTCAGCCTCCAACTCTCAGATGTGGCACTGAAGCACATAAACCGCAGAGACACCAGGTTCATTAAAACATTGCCCCGTTCCAGTTTGCAGAGTTTGAGCCTGAAGAGACCTAAGCTCTGATTTAAAAGGAACACCTGCTTCAACAAGATTAGTCATAGCTACAACCCAGCATCTCCTTGGCTTTCTAACAGCAGCAGATAGCTTCTATCTGGGAGCAGGGGCAACACAACACACTTGCTTTCCAAGTGACTGATATGAAAGCCTTTGACCTGAAGCAATATAGAGTTACAGCATGTCCAATTCCAATCATTCACCTACAGCCACATCAACAGCTGCACATGCTCTTCCACCTGGCATGACAAGCAGTGTCCTTCCCTTCCCTCTGCAGCAGGGAGAAGCCCGTCTTCCTCCCTTCTCCGTTGCGGGCGTATTTCACAGCCTCTCCAGGCAGGGGACAACATCTCCAAGCACGATAATTCATGACAGCCTTTAGACTTGGGTACAGGCTGCTCAGCAGAGACAGAAGCAAATTTGGAGGGGTGGGGAGGGGTGTTCTCCCCTAACTCAGACTTGCTTAGGCTTTTTGCTTTGTCTGCAGTCTGGCAAGTCCAGGTCATCCTCCTAAAACAGGGCTGGGTGTATAACTCCACCTCCCAAAGCCAACTGAAAGCCAGGTGGCAGATGGAGACATAAGCAGCAGATGGAGATGTAACATGCAACCAAGACAGCAAGCCAACTAGTGTTCCTTTGCCCAAGCTCAAGGCTCACCTGCAATATGCTGAACGCCTTGAAGAGAGCAGGAACCGGTGAACAGCGACGAGCATCCACAAGAACAGTTAGACCCAAAGCCTGACATTCTGGTCTGGAAGGACAGAGAAAAAGAGGTCACATTTGTCACCAATGAAAATCAACAAGACTATGGAAACAGAACCTGTAGTCATGACAGGGTGAAAAAAACCCAGTACAGTATGGCTCTGTAAGGACAGGGAACTAACTGGCCACCTTCTCCTATCCAAAATATATACATGGAAACCACCTGGATTGCTCAGTTTTTACATTTGCTATTTCCACCTGAAACTTCCATTTCTCCAATTCCTAGTATACATCTCACTGATAGCAAAGGTGCTGATACCCACTCTGGGTAATCCACACAGGAAAACCAGTCCTTCCTAATTGCATTCAGGGACAAGCTTGGTCTTAGCCACGCTGCTTCACAAGAACAGCCATTCTGGATCAGACCCAAAGCCTATCTTGCCCAGAATCAGATATGAAGGGAGAAGCACAAGAAACAAAGCATGAGCAGCAGAAGCTTTCTCATGGGCTAAGTCTGCTCCCTTTATCAATGGTTTAAAGGCTTCAAAAAAAAAAACAAAACAAAAAAAACCCAAAAACCAAAAACAACAAAAAACCCCAAACCCAAATGAAAATGACATTAACAGAAAGTAAGTTTTACCTCTTATTAGTTTAATCATCTAAAAGTGAAACAAAGTCTCAGTAAAGCCTGAGATGAGCTGGGGGGGGGGTGTGAAGAGTCTGTCATAGTGAAAGGAAGAGTAGCAGCCGCAAACTCCAGCCTGCAGACTCCAAAACCAATTGTCAGCCAGACATCAAGGCAGATTTTCTCAACCCTTGAAGATCCTCCCTCCCTCTCAGCTTGGAGGCCTGGCCCTAAAATATCATGTCACAATGCTGTATCACAGAGCTGCTGCATGACTGCCCCACCATAGCTCCCAAATCCCATTTTCTGAGCTAATGAAGGATAGCGAGAATGGCTTGGATTCATGGCAATGCAAGAAAACATTCAGTATGTACCTAATTCTATCACGCCATGTACACAAGGCGCATACAGAATAGCCAAACTGCTTACTGAATATGAGCCAGTCCACCCTAGCAGGAGATCCCCATCTGTACAGTTTCAGGACTGTCTGGACCAGGTTCCCAGGCCAATAAAGTCAACCCGTTCCATTCGCTGCCTCAGCTTCCACCCCCCCAAAAGACAAAGCAGACATGGCAGCAGTGCCCACCCTGTCAGGCCAAGAGTGTCAACAAACCTTGGGATGCTATGCAAGTACAGAAGAAGGCGTACAAGCTCAGTTGTATTGCAATGTGGGTTTAACCAGGCTGTGTTCCTTGTTGTTATTATGGCTACTGCACGTCCTGATTTATCTCTGGTACCTGTAAAAAGAGGGGGGGGAAGTCACACAAGGACGTCAACAGAGCCTGGTTCCAGGTGTGTATGCCTCATATTCCCCTACTACCACCCCACTGCCTTCCTGGAAATGCTCCATAGAACTCAATATAGCGTATGGTGCAGACTGTGGTAGGCTATAAACACACTTCCAAAGTACCCAAATGCTGCCCCAGAGCGAAGTAGTTGAGCTCTGCTTGTCTTTCTCTCATAGTAGTATTAAATTTGGACTGCTCTCTTCTACCCAAACACACATTCTTCATAAAATATGGCTGAAGTTGGCTAATGATAACCCAACCTTGTGAGAAAAGCAAGAATCTCATAAACTCAAGATAAATAATCTCACCTCCACTTATTTTACAATATTCACATTGCTGTCAGACCAGAGAACGCAGACAGGTTTGCAGAACAACATGCGCTACCTAATGAGACTAGGCACGGACGCTGCAGGCTAGGCCTAGCACATAACCAGACATCTCCTCCTGGGACCAAAGCCCCGGAGCAGGAGCCCAGAGCTCCTCCTCAGAGGCTCCTCTTGCCTGCCTACAGCTCTGACAAGGGCAGAGTCAGTGCCAGGCTTTCATTAGTTTCAGAGGTTGCTCAGTGCCTAGGAAATAGATAAGGCACAGTATGGGCAACAAGGCTGAGTTGTGATAAGTTGAAAAGGGAGAAACCCCTCTGCTTCAGTTAGCCAGGACAACAGTTCTCTGCCCCTGCCTTCCAAAAGCCAAGAGACACAGCTTTTCACAGGAACCAAGCGCACTCTATGGGCGCCCAAAACTAAATGATAGTCTGGCTTTGGCTTTAGCCACAATGTGCATCAAGAACTCTGAAGAGGAAGACATTAACAGGGCCATTTCTGGGATTACATCCAGCCTCCTCTCCAGATGCAAAGGAGAGGTAAAGAACAGGTAGACACACCACTTCAGAGATCCATAGCTGCCTCTGTCACTCAAAAGCAAACAGTGCCTGTGGAGTGAGCCTGCTCAAGTGACTAGCGCTCTGCGCTCACACACGTCACCAGGAAGGTAAGTGATTTGGAGAACAGTGGGGACTACACCTCTATTGTGTGAAAAGTAATTCACAAGAAAGGGAGCCATTTTCTGTCATACAAATTGTATGAGAGAGAGGGGGAAAAAGTCCCAAGCTCAAAACAAAAAGAGAGGCTTAGAGAAAGATATGTCTTTCTGTCTCTTCTGAACTTTATTGCTACCACAGAAGATACCGTCCTGGACCACCTCTCTCCCCATCCCAGGGACAAGCATGTGAGTTGACAGGTAAAACAGATACAGATGGACAGCCACAAGCACAGAAAACTGTCCTGGTGTGATCTCAATCTGTCACTTGGACATGACTTGAGTAAGGGCCACAGACACAGATGGGCATCATTTAGAAGCAGGGCTTTCTCCCCTCCAGGGACCAGAACTGTGACACAGGCTTTCTCCTGCTAACAGCAGGGACAAAAATCTTTCATCGTCTGTGTGATTCAGGAAGAGTTTTATTACTCCTGAAATATGGTATTCTGGGCACTGTATAATCAAAGAGCTGGAGAGGAATTAAAAAAAACCTTATTAATATACCTTGTTTCATAAGCTAACAGGATCATCAGCAAATAAAAAAAAAAAGCAAAGCACCCAATTACTAGAAAAATGGCCCAATAACCAGGCTCAGTAAAAATTTTCTTACTCTGAAGCAACATCTTTTCTCCATCAGGGAGGCTGGGCATCACCAGAACTTGATTAAACCTTGAACTTCCATATAGGAGCCTGGGAATTGCCTAACCAGGTCAAAAAAGCAACCACAGCCACCAGGACTAGGTCTCCAACAGTGGCATAACCACATGATTCAAGAGCAGAATGCAGAATTGAAACTCTTCTGAAAGGAAAATTTCTTCCTAATTCCATCAGCTACTAGTTTATTAGCTCTCATTCACTATTCATTATAAAAGTTATTCTTTCTAATGCAATTATTGTATCACTATCAATGTCTAACATAAAGCATTTAACTGAGTGGTGAGTGCATTCCTTCAGGTGTGAGGATTGCCCACTGAAATCCAAAAGGAGACATGCGAGAGAAGAGGTGTCAGTCAAATCCAATACTGCTTCTACAGAAAACCTCATTCCTCCCTTTGGTGAAAACTCCTTTGGAAGTGGTATCAAACCCAAACCTTGTTTCTTCAATGCATTTCAAGGGCACATCCCTTCATCCCATATTCAAATGCATTTGCCTTGTTTAACAGTCGTATATTATGACAGGAATCCATGACAAATGAAACAACTAGAGCACTAGATCGCATAGTCAGGCTTCTACAATAGCATGGACTATAAGCTTCTCTTAAAGACCCCTCTCTCGAACCCTGTAATTTTTTGGCTGTTGTATACACCCTGAAACATCCAACTTGATCAGCAGATCAGAAGATCAGAAATCCTCCTTTAGAACTTGTTCTTAACAGTTTACCTACCAAAGCAAAGTTACATGTTTGAATATACCATAACTCTGCCTTGCACTGGGTTTCTCCTTTCACCTTTTTCCAGAAGACTGGAGAAGTCTTACTTCCCTTTCCTCTTTCCCTGCACAAAGGTGTTTTCACCTCACTCTCAATCATCTTATGAGATAAACAACCTTCCAGTCTCTTGCCATAAGACATCCAATTCATTTACAAGAAAGGGCTGTCACCCTTTTCTGCACCACCTCCAATATTCACCATTTCCTTTTAGAACAAAGGCATCAGAACAGCCCAAACTATTTGAGAGGTATCACCAACAAGTACAGAGAGGTAAAATCACCTTCTTAGTCTGGCTAGTCATCCCCCTTTGACATCTAAGGCCAAAATTGGTCTTGCAGCCCCAGCACCAAGTGCAAAATCGCTGTGCTGCCTTTCTACTCTCCTTCCCAATTTCTCCACACTGCACAGGTCTGCCTGACCTATTCTCTGCTCTCTGGCCAGTTTTCAAATCATACACAGCTCGTGAGCTGACTGAATGTAGCTATCTTCCTGCCTTACACTAGACAACCCTCTCACTGGCTGCGGAAGGAGGCAAGCCCCCAGGGGCTGCTTACACAGACACTACCAAACGGCTGCTTCACACTGGAGAGGTAGATCTCACTTCCTCTGCTTTACTTCATATTTGGTTAAACACAAAAGGCCTCTTGTGTGGGCCCTGCGCACCAAGCAATCCTGGCTGCTCTAACAGCTTCAGCTTTGTTTACCATTCTGCCAATATTTGTCCCATGCAGAAGTTTTATCTGCAGAAATTTGATACTTACTGCTGTATCAGATGCAAACACAGAATAACGTTTGACCTGCAACTGATCTTGGCAGAACAATTCTGGGAAGTCCTCCCTTCACAGCTAATTTTGTCATCTGCTGTTTAGCTACACTATCCCACACATTGCTCATCCACACTTCATTGGGATATTCCTTTCAACACTATGTGTCATGAAATCAAATGTTTTCTAAAAATCTATTATATCTAGGCAGCTACATTTAATCAACCAAACTTCTAATTACCAAGAATAAAACTGGTTTTACAAGAGCACTGTCAAATAGCATCTTCTACACTCCTATCCTTTAATTACCTACCAAGTGAATCAAGTTCCTATTGTTTCAACCAGGTCTGTCAGGCCCACCAGCTCATCATTAGCTGCACCCTCACTCCTCTCTTTTTGAACTAGTGGTATGAGCCCACAGATTTGGCATTTCTGACTCATACATGCTTGGCTAACATTTTGAGACTCCTGGGAGCAAGTTAACACTACTTTCATGAGAGAGAAGTTCTACTTCCTGTCTTTCCCATCCAGAAACTTTAGAGGCTTCAAGAAGTGTTGCTTCTGGAGAGGTTTGGGGCAAAAGAAATGGAATCGGCACTGGTCTGCAGCGCTGCAAGCAGAGGCTCATCTCCCTTGCCCTCCTACAAACTACGCTTCCCAGACACATTCTGGCTCAGCTACTTACCAGGCAGGCAGGCAACTCCACTCTTGAGCACTTCTGGATTTACATCCTTGACTATGGTAGGTGCAGACCGACCACCCCAGGCAGCCCCAGAAGCTGGGGATGTCGGGGGAGTAATAGCTGTTGAGGTTTCCTCCAGAGCACTGACTTTACTCACTGGTTTCAACACATCTGTGCCAGTTGCTTCTTTTCTCGTCTCTGCCCCTTCTGACACCTTCCCTGTAAGAAAAGCAGCAGTCAGAAGCCTGAGCAGAGCTCCACCCAAAAGGTCCCAGGCAAATACCAGATTGGGCAGGGACATGCCCCCAGCCCCAGCACTCTGCAGCTCCTCCAGTCCTCGTGCTAGTAGCATGCATGTTCCAAGACTGGTTATAACATTAATACTACTGTAATTCTAAAAAAATAAACTAATTTATTGTGAAGTTTGCAAGTTACAAAAACTCAATCAGATCAGGATTACTGTAGTCAAAGTCATTTTTAAAGGTAACATATCAAGCAGTACATGCCTGCTCACAGCCTGAAAGTCTGGCGTGGTGCAAGTTCCTGGCTCAGCTCCAGCATGCTGAAGTGATAAACCAACTTCTGACAGGGAGAGCTGCTCCATCAGAGCAGAATTACTCCCCCAACACCACTTTCAGATTAGTTCCTGAAAATATAAAGTCAACTCAAGGCTAACAAATCAGCTGGAAATTAGCCAAAGAGACCTTGTTCTGCTCATCCAGACTTTTTTAATTAACAGTTAATGTGAAAGTCAGAAACCCATTTTAAAACCCTGAAGAACAGGATGATTACACCAATCAGCTCTGTTTGAGAACTGCAGAAAATGCTTCCTTTGCCTGACACCTCAGCTCTAAAGTACTAGTTATCAGAATCAGTGAATTCTAAAATTAAATATCTTAGCTACTACATGAAAAATAACACTAGTTTTATCAAGCTTCAATTTTCATGTAGAAGTAGCTGGAGAGAAGAAAAAAAATACCTATTGTATAAGAAGTATTATTCCCCATTTTCCAACATTATAAGAATTAGAAGCCAACAATACATCTTCAACAATACATCTTTAGCATCCTAAGTGCACAGCTAGGCTACACCGTTTGGCAAAAAGATGTACTGAAGAACAGGCTATACTTCGCTGCAAATCCTGATACTTCAATATCTACCAACAAAAAAAAAAATCAACCTTTCTTTAGGAAAATAAAAGAGTGGAGTATTTATTTGCTTGCTATGAAGTCAGACGTTTTAATTGCTATTTAAAATTGACTTCAACCATCCTACCTTCCTGCTGCATCAACAATGCTGACACTTGACTCAGTTTATTTACTAACAGATTCCAATACTTCATTAAAGAGCAGGACCAGGAACAAAGCAGTCCTTGAAGTGGCTTTCAATACAAGTTTTAGAAGCAAAGGAGATTTACAGGTTGAGGCTTAGCCCAAACTATTTTCAAAATTGCTAAAGTGGGTGCGAGAAGTGCCCTGAGCAGCATGGCTCACTGAGCAAAATTATCCGACAGTGGGGGGAGAAACTAGGAGGGGCTCCAGAGCTCTACACCATCGAGGCCGTGATGGAGTAGCTGCTCATTACTCTTTGGTAACACCCCTCAAGGGAGCATCCCTGGGACCCAGCTTGGCATCTGCTGCATTTGGCCACATAAGCTGCTGCAATGGCTTCAAGGCTCTGCACAGTTCTGGGACATGTCAGAGCTCAGTTCTGTTCCTAGTACTACCTCAGCCTCCACTTTCCAGTGATGCAAGAGGTCATTCACTTTGGACAACACTGCTAGATCTTCCTGAAGCGGCATTTTAGAGAGGCACTGACCTCCCATAGATGGGGTATCTTGAAGATCACAGAGTCACGTAAGTCGTGCCCTAAAGGTTTCACATTAAGGGCTGATAGACTTTCTAGGAGAACATAGAATCATACAATCATCTTCTCAAGGAGCTGTAAGGCATGGCAATAAGCAGAACTACACAGATTGTAGTAAAGGAATCTGCATTAAATGAAGAAAGCCTGCAAAGAGGACCAAGAGGTGGCATTTAAAGACAACAAGAAAGGGAACATAGCTATATTGAAGGTACCATACCAGGGCAAGAGAGAGACATAAACGTACACAGCAGCCCTGCCTTGATATCTCTTAGGAATGAGGTAGCAGCTCCCAAAAGCTAGAAGACAGAAGCATTTTGCTCAGCCCACTTTTCAGACTCAGGGAAACCTCACTGGAGCTGTGCAGCCTCCAGACTACACACATCTTGCCCAAACCAACCCCTTCCCTAAGCTTCTCGGGCTCAATTCAGATCTGCAGATCTCACTTCTCTCCAAACAGGCCCAAGCACACTGTTTGTTACTTGCGATCTGTGGTGGAGGCACTTACTAAAGCGGAAATTGTAGAACGCAGAGGATTACATCAAAAAGCAAATTTGAGAACTGGAACATCTGAATTTGCCATGTTTGCAGGTGCCACCTTTCCCTGAGGTTAAGGAAGTGGTAGAGGAGGATTTGCTTGCGTGCATTTCAAAGAAACATTAGCATTTTTCCTGCAAACTGCCCCAGCACCAGTATCATCTATGCTAACATCACATAGTAACAGGGAGCGGGAAAGGAATGCCCTAACAGGTGCTGCTGAATATGCCCCAGTTTGCTTTTCAGCCAATTTCTTGAATATCAAGATATTTTCCACCCCCAAAATATAGAAATTCTTTCCAGAGCTGCAAAGTTTCAAAATTCACTTTCACTTAAAGTTAGTCATTAGTGAAAAACAGCAGTCACATTATCTGTGAATGGAACCAAAATGGAAATTTTAAGCCACAAATTCAAAACAGATCATTCACATTTGACTTGAAATCTAAGTTAGATCATATTTGTGCAGAAAACAAGCTCACTGCGAGTGGGAGGAAAGGGAGAGAATTAAGGGACAAGGAAAAATCTGCAGACACAGCAAACTCAGATGCCCCAGTTCTGAACATGTATTTTGACATCATCTACGATGTCTGCCGTAACAAGCCAGCTCCTCCGCCTCACACAGAGCAAATCATGCATCTGCCCACTACTACTACGGTGCGAACTGCAAATCTGAATTGACCCAGTAAAGCTTAAGCTTTGCTGTTACTTATAGTTTAGGCAAGATACCCACAGTTTCCAATCATAGTAGCAAAATACCCCAACAAGACACAGTTACAGAGAATTTAACTCGCCTACAGACTAACTGGCTGGAAGAGAAAAGTCCATTTGTAGGACATTTGCTTCACTTTGTAATTTTATCTCTGAATTATCTTATTATTATATCTCTGAGGGTTTAATGGAGCTAGATAAAGGGATGGCTTGTTTGGATCTCAAAGCAATCAAATGTAATTGAATGGATTAAGCTTATTATAGTTCCAGCTATAGTGTTTAAGAAACACTCCTGGCACTAACGGATATTTGAGCTACCCTGTGCCTTAAAGACTTTGGTTCATTGGGTGGGGGGGGGGGGGGCGTGTCCTGGTGATTTAGGTTGTTTCTGTTGCTTTACAAACTCTGAGATAACAGGGCTTTTTTAACTACAATGCCAAAGTTTAACATCATCAGAATTGGGCCACGCATGTCACTTATTTCAGCCAAATCCCCAGAAACAATTAAATTATCTTTCATTAAGAACAAACTCCACACATACCCCAGAGGGGTCAGTCATTGCTGAAATCCACAGCAGCAGCCAAGACTCGTCCTGTGGAGCAGTGAGAACATCACACTTACCATCTCATACACAAGGTGGACCTGGCTAATTTTAGACAGAAGAGATGGGAACACTGAACAAGAAGCCACTACAGTCATGAGGAAAGCATATACCCAGCACTCAACACAGCCTAGGTTTTCTGAGGTTCGGTTCTGTGCAAACATGAAGTCAAGCCAGGTTCAGCTTGGCCAGGGGAACGGATACCCATGGCATGTTTATTTACTGGCATACATCCCCAAAGAGCTACAGATAGGCAGAAGGTGACCTCTTTATTTCTGCTCATGGTGGTAGATGATCAGAGAGACGCACACTTCAGAAACAGAAACTTTTGAGCTGACTCCTCCATTTCACAGAAAAGAAATGCTTGTCACTCCAAAAGCATCAGAAATGCCTGGCAACCATGGGCTTGCCTAATTATGGAATTAAAATATTTTGGTGCAGGTGTTAAAGAAATTTCATTTTAATCAATGGACACTTTAGCTCCATTAGGAGGTCACACTAAGGCATCAGGTAAAATGTGACTTTTGGACAATTGAGGAAGTAGTTGTGTTTGCAGCCAAGTGGAGTAGTGCTGCAGCAGTGATGTAGGCTCTGAATCTGTTCCTCCACAGGGTCAGGCATGCTCCAGCAATGTGGGTCTGTACCTCCAACCCTTTCAAGAGTCCGCACTCTTTCAAGCCGGGTAATTTTCCTAGCCAAGGGTCTCAGGGAATGAGAGCTGCTGAACTGGAATGGCATGTTTCACCCGCCCCCACCACACACACGCTCCTCAATGTGATCTGCATATCTAGCTACAGCTTTCCAGACTCAGCAGAGCTCGGCAAAGCCAACATCATGTCCATGCAGTCACACACTGCCTGCCTACAGTCTGGTGCAAAAGGCAGAGAGACCTGGATTGCCTGTTCAATTCCTTCTGAAGGAGCACAGCTCCAGCACAGGAAACCTGGGCATCAAGAAGTCTGGGCAATACCTGCTCACACATATCATTTGAGTTAAGAGTTAGATGCTTAATTTCTCTATGCTTTCCTGCTCAAGTTAAACAGCTCCTACTTGAAATATAACCAAGCCAAAGAAAGCATGCCAGAGCGCGAGGGAGGGAAGAGGGGGGGAATCCCTCAACTCTGCAGTTTGCTTCTTACATCAGTTACCAGCACACATATTTGTTAATCTTTAGGTCATGTTACAGAGCTAGTATTTTACTGTGGCATCCACTGCTGCTTCCTCTTGCCACAATTATCTTCCTAAAGCCAATTTTCAACTATGAAAGACTTGTACAGTTAGACATTCTCTCCTCATGCATTCCTATTGCATGCATCCATAATGTGCACACAATGAATGTAACGGGTGGAGATCACCAGCAATCAGATTAACAGAAATTAAGTCTCTTACACTGGAACTTTGATCTGGACCGATGTAAATTTGCAAAGAACTATTAAACAAAATACCTATAATAAACCCACCTGTGAAGACAAAGCTAACTTCAAGCCACAAAAATGACAACTTAATCACTTTCCTGTAGTTTGTACTATTACCCCAAAGCTTCCCCAGCAGACGTACTTGTCAGCAGTACCTCTTGAGGACTTTGCTTTCAATCCATGTTATCAAACAGATAAACACACAAACATCCAATTGCTGTACCTTTAGGAGATGATGCCCCAGAAGCTGCCTCTTTGTGGGAGTGCAGAGTGGTGGGCTCTGTATGCCCCTCAGCAGGTCCTGAGGACAGTGGTCCAACCTCCAGTTCCTCTTCAATGGATTCCAGTGTTTTTAGGGCTATAGTCTTTGACTTTTCCCCATAAGAAAAACTCTCCTGGTTCTCCTCCCCTCCCTGCAAGTCCTGTACTGCAACATGCTCTGGGTTGAACACAGAGTTCTCTTCACTTTTACAGCCCTGGTTTTCTACCCTCCTTTGTGGCTCCTCACACCTCTCTCCAGACCTCTGGGTTCTGAATTGACTTGAGCCTTCTGCTTGCGCATCAGGGCCCATCAAAGAGTCCCTGTTATTTAATTGTTCTGCCATCTGATCACCCTCTGCTGACAAAGCAGTTTGGAGTAGTATGGCTTCTTCAGGTTTCTTATGCTGACAGGCAGAGACCTCTTGCTCTTCACCATCTGACAAGAGACCATTTGTAGGAGCTTTGACAGAACAGTGATTATGACTAGTCTGATTCTCACTTACAGTCAATATTTGTTCAATCTCTTTGACTTCGTCTGGGCTGTCCCTTCTTCCCAGCTCAAATTCATCTACTTCTCCTTGGTTCTGTTCTGGAGGCCTTAATGGAGAACTAAGATTTGCCTCCTGATCACTGCAGCAAGCACCGACTGCTCCTACATCTGCTGTGTTCCCTGAAGGAGAGCCTCTCTCCACACCTACATCTGAACTCGCAGGCATGATAAGCAATGTAGTGGCCTGGACTGGTGTACCACTTTCACTGACACTCTGGCAAGAAATATCAGAACCTTCCTTCAGTATGCAGTGTGGTCCCGAAGGCCCTAGGACAGACACAGGAGAAGCATCCATCTGTGTCACCTCATTTTGACCCTCGGTCAGTGGTTCTCCATGTACTCTCAGTATCACATCCTCTTTAGCAGCAGTAGCATCTAGAATTGTTTCTGGGCTCTGCTCTGATGTTTCAACACCAGGACTTCTGCTAGAACCATCACTTTCTTGTTCCATGTTTCCAGGAGCACCAGGCATTTGTGCTTTACAGTTGACACCATCTCCAGCACACAAGTCACTGTAGCTGCACAGTGCGTATCGCCAGTCGATTGAGTGTTCGCTGTGGGTCTCCTGCTCTGCAGATGAATCTTCTGCACTGCAGGCAGGAGACTCAGCCATAGGAAAGCTATTCCCCATGTTTCCAGGGCCACCTGGTATCAGCTGACCTTCTGGAGACAGTTCTCCATGTGCCATCATTTTGTTGCTTTCCAACGGAATTACATTTTTGAGAACTTCCGTAGAAGTCCTCAGAGTGTCCATTTGACAGTGCTCCTTCTGCATAAGTGCTGACTGAATTAAATTCTTGGAGTAGGTACTGTCTTGAATGACAATAAACCTGTGCTTGCCTTTAGACGCATTCGCTCGTGTTCTGGGCTGAGTTAGATAATTTAAAGCTAGTGATTGGGTTAAAGAGCCTCTTTGTGGCCCAAACCTGGGCAATGAAACTTCGGTCAGCTCAACATACTCCCCTTCAAGGTCACTTTTCAAGTTTTCTTGAGGCACAGGACTTGTACAGACACCATTGACAAGAGCTTCACTTAACTGCGGAGCTGTGCTGCTAGTGACCAGGTTGTTTCGATTTGGACTTTGTTCCTGTAGATACTGAGATCCTAGGTCTGGTGAACTGCACTCAGCATGGTCCATGGGGAGGCACAAAATTGAACGTTCCTCTGCTATTTCTGGAGAGATTATATTGTTTTCAATTATTTTTGGTTTATTTATAAATTCAGGATTAACCACTTTATCCCAGGGGATGCGAAATATTTCATCATCAGTGGTTAGTAAACAATTTTCCAGTGCTATACCCATTCGCTCTCCATTGAAAGTACTCAACCATTCCAGAGTAAAAATAGAGGTATAAGAAACTTCTGGAATCACAACTTCCTCTACATTGTGCTTGTCTTTTGCCAAACATTTCAATACAATTCGTGGAGACTTCTTCAGATAGGGGACCACCTGCAGGTAGAAGTCACCAGGCTTCAAGATTCGCCAGTCAATGGAAGCCAGCTGGACTACAATCTTCTCATGAATACATAGGGGCCAGCCCTCATGGCGAAACAGCAAGCCACAGTACTGAACCTATGGAGAAAAGAGAAAGTGTTTTCAGCATCAGGAACGGATCTCAGCTCAAGGTTTTGGACAAGAGAGATCAATGCTTCTCTTTCACAGCTGTAGCAATAGAACACTTGAATTTAGGGTCTTTGGTTATTAGTGCTGGGGAGTTTTCCATACTGAGGTCTTCTCTTTAAAAAGCAGAAACAAGAAAAGGTACCAACACAAACTACCAGCATTTCAAAATCTGAATATGAGCCAACCACCTGCCAGAAGTCTCAGCCCTGTTTTAAAGCTGGGTCAGCACAGAGAGAGGTCTAAGCCTCAGAACCCCAGTGTAGAGAAATCAGGAGTTCTCACCTCCCAGTGCTTAAGCCGGGAGACCCTGTCTGTTCCTCATTTCTGAGTCATTAGGACCAACTGGACTGACTAAGAAAGTGAAAATTCAGACCATACAGCATCCCTAACTAAATGCCATTAGAGAAACATGGGCAGACAGCAGTCTGCTTACAACGCATGGATAAAACCCACCGTCCTCAACTAAAGACGATCCACAGCCTTAACAGAGAAAGTGGCAAATAATACACATAATTTCCAAAGCATCCAGTGAGCTCTAGGTTGCACCAGGTACACTCAATACCAACCTGCGAAAAGGAGGCTGTAGATTCAGAAATCTCACTGCACAGGATGCCACTACTCAGCCTGGCACCACAAAATCTATTTCTCAGGTGAAGTAGTGTTAGTTCTTTAGACTGAGGTCTGCTGCAAGGGAGGTAATGAAAAGCTTTGCTGATGAAGGAAGGTAGAATGAAAATGCCAAGGTCTGTCTGAGGACTTGTTTTTATTCCCTAATATGCTCTGCTGGAGTATGCAGCATGTTCCACCTAATGTTGGTTAAGCAAAATTGAGGAGCATGGAACCAGGTAAAAAGCATCACTCACCTGGTGCTATCAAGAGCCTATGCAAGACAGGTGGAGACAAGTTACATGGAATGCAGCAGCAAGGGATGACTGCAACCTACCAGTGAACAGAAGGAGACACTGCAAAGAAGAAGCAGGAGAAAGGAGGCAGCAAATGAGGAAAGCATAGCAGAACCACAGAGGAAGAAGGCAGTAAGTCCCATCATCAAGCTGCAAGGAACTACACTTACCAGGGATTTCCTCATTCCCAAAACATAGCGGCACTCAGGACAAATCTCAGACAAATCCCAATCAAGTAAAAGAACTGAAGTTTCATGGCTGAACTGACTTGGGTCAATTATTTACAGCTTTATTACAACTTCAAAAAATAAAATCACTGCTTTGAACTTGATTCTGTTTGGGTTAAGTAAGATTTAAATTGAGCCACGACATAAGCCATCAGTTTCATGATGAATTTAATCTTTCTCTGTCACAAGGGTTTAGATAGGATTCACCTGTATCGGATGCAATACTTAAATTAGAAAGCTGTCATCTGAAAGCCCAAAGACTTTAGTATTGGCAGCATAAGACTTTAGACATTTTATCTTGTTTCTTTTACATGGTCACATGGAAGTCTTGACAGAGAAAGCAACTTATAAAAATGCTGTATTCTGCAGGCCAGACAGATGAAAGAAAAAAATACTTTAATTCAAATATTTTGCCATATAGCAGAGAAACCACAGAACTGGAAGGAACTTCCTGGATCCTCACACACCTTGAAACAATAGGTAATGGCATCAAGTAATTTCTTTCCTATGTTCATCAAGCTTTACCTTTAGCCCAGTCAGGTTTCTTATCCTCACTGCACCTGATGCAAAGTTGTTCGAGAGGCTTGAAAGCCCAAAGCATCCTTCAGATTCAATAATTCCTTCTCCTCAACCCTGGAGCTTGTTCTCTGGATGTGTTCCCATGGCTTGAAATTATTAAGCCATGTCACATTGCCTTAGCACATCTCCCTTGATCATCTCTTAGGCCTGCTTGAAGTGCCTCCTTGGTGATGCTTTTTTTTTTAAAAAAAAACACATTTCTTTGTTCCACTTTTTCATTGTGCAAAGCATTGCAAAACACTGCGTACAATGGCACCAACAATTCCTAACTGTGCTAGAAGCATCTCTTAAAGCTAAGATCACACTTGTCTTCCAGCCATGCCCCTACGGTAACCCAGTCACCTGCTGGTTTTTCTTTCCAAATTGATGAACCCCAGTTCACAACAGAAATTCTGCCTGTTACTTTGTGGAGGCACATGTTTGCCCTCCGAGTCTACCATTATAAAAACTTAAGTACAAAGTTTTAGAGCTCATCTTGTGGAACACTTTTATCACCCTCCTTTTCCTCCTTTAGGTTATTGCTCATGTCTCCCACACTGGTTTCATCACAAATATCTGTCATATGCATACTCTTACTTTTTACGCCAAAGTCATGGATGAGAAGTAATGTGTGCCTCATGACTCCTACCTCCATCTCAGTTTTCACTACAGTACGAACACCCTCTCTTTCACTAGTTTTTTACCCATCTTGCAATACTTGCATAAACCTCCATCCCTTTGACACAGTAACTAATTTTCCATATGACTCCATAATAAATCCTTTATGGAAGAGATTAGACAACAAAACTTTTCTCTCTAGAATGAGCTGGTTTATGAAAAAGGCTAGTCTTATACTACTTGCCATGGAGCAAACCACATGAAAAAATGTTATCCAGTTTTTAATGGGTCAGTTAATTCAGTCCTTGCTCAGTGCATATTGTTGTATGCTCAGCTTGTTCTGTGTTTTGTTACTAGTCCTGACTTAACAGATTCAATAAAAATCCCTGTTATCAGACATTTGGCATTACATGGTAACTTCTTCCATATTCCAGGATGGAGACCAGCCAGTCCCTTTTCTTCGACATAGTCAATTCCATAGTCATGGCAGTTTTATTTCTGTTCAACTCAGTGCAACTGCCTTGTTGTACCTACATGCTCTGTCACTAAACTGAATCTTACTTTAGTTTTCATTTGTTTGAAGGGTCATATTAGTATTACCTTTATATTCTAACCTTGAACTGAGAGTAGACCCACCTCCCTTTTTTTTGTCTCTCTATTAAGTTAGAATTAAAAAGCTGTATAGCCTAACACACAGTTGGTCGTACTTCCCTCAAAGGCACGAGGAGCTAAGCTTTGCAGTCTTACGTTCTTATGCTTTCTGATCTGCAAGACATAGATGCCTCTACCAGCTAGGTCCTTTCTTACACCAGCACAGCACAGTTCAGCAAACCAAGACCTCCTCTTACAGCACACAGTTTGCACAAGTTGCTACTGGCTTCAGCAAGTCTCAGGCCATACCTACTTCACTGACTTTTCCATCAAGCCCAAGACTCACACAGCACCTCAGTCGATAGAGCTTTTATCTCCTAAAGAAGTGCCCAAGCCCAGTATTTTGTATATAAGGTTTTAAACAAAAACAATCTGCAGTCTTCCAGAAGACACTATACAGTTGCACCCTCCACCACACCATATCAACCCCTCTTCTGCCATTAGAGTATATCCTAGTAGGTATATCAAGGCCATCTGTACCAAGGGCCTTCCAGGGGAAGACAAGACAGAGAAAAAAAAAAAAAAAAATCAGTTCCCAAGCCATTAAAAGTAGTTTATATGACTGAAAAGTGAGAGACACAATCAGCAGTAGCACAAACATAAAGCTGAATTCCATCTGTACCTACCTGACACAGAGTTTCTGTTAAAACCTGCATGCAGAGTAACCTATTTGGGCACCATTCACACATTAAGAAATCCAAAACCCAATCTCACCACTTACATGACCTGTCTGCCTACTGACTGACAGGTGAAGAAAACTCAGCAATAAAATTACCAAAACCATAATGCAGAATGCATTGAAGTTCCTGAAAAACCCTACAAAGCCACAGTTTAAACTGTAGCAAGAGCTAGAGTAACCATCCAAGCAGGAATGTAAGTCTTTCAATAGCCTAAACATTTCAGAGTTTTAGAACTTTAGAAGTGGAGCATCCTCATGTTGCTCCTGCTCCAAAAAGCACCTTCAAAGGGAAGATTACATGAAGAGGCTTATTTCAGTTGTTTTAACATTTCACTTTGAGGCTCAAGTATTTGCTCTTCCCGTGTCCAACCACTACTGAGCCAAACCAGGCATGTCAGAGGAATGCCAGGAACAGACTCTACACCTAGTGGTTGCAGCCAGGAATAAAGCTGCCTCTGAGGAAAGAGATGGGCACCAATGACAAAGATGCTACAAAGGTAGTAGCTCCTAGAGCTATGGGGATGGCTGGGCTGGAACAGACCAACAGTCCATTTAGCTCAGGATGTCATCTGAAGGCCAGGGGCAAAACCTGGTTTCTTACTTTGTGCTAAGCAGAGACAGACCCCTTGGCACATCCCTCCACACACCCCTCTCCAGCCCCTGGGGATCACATACAGGCTACTGATTTTAACATTCCAGGCTGAAGCCTATGACCTTGTCTAATACTTCATGAAGCCACTTACACTTTTGTCACTGCAGAGGCTGAGAAAGAGATTTAGCACCCTCAAGATTTCCTACAGTAGCTATTCAGACAGGAGTTACTTTTTTCCCCACCGGAGGAAAAGCTCACATGGACCAGCTGAACTACAAACTAAGGAGGAAACACTGCTTTTGTTTAGACTCTCTAAAAGACAGACAAAACTGTTAAAAAACAAGTAACAAAAAATAGTCCTGTGATTTCAGACAGTGAAGACAATAGAAGGAGGTTTGGGGAAGAAAGAGAGTCCACAACAAATGAGAGAAATAACTTTCAGCAATAAAAATTCAAACAAGCAAACTTCTAAATAAAATATGGAATAGCCTGGGCCCACCTCTAAAGACAGTACAAGGTACCTAGAGCTTCCCTTGATCTCCCTGTATTGCCAATCTGAAAGTACAAAATCATGAGTCAAGGCCAGAAAGGGTCACAAGGAGGAAAGGCTCAAAGCATCCAGCTGTGCTCTTTGAGAGGCCTGTGCCTGCACTCTACCTCTTGCTGCCCACTCTCCCAAACATGTCACAGTTCAGCAAAAGCCCCCACAACCTAATGCTGAGCCCTGAACAGCCCTCACTGGAAGGCACCAGCCCTGCAACTTGTGGCTACTGGGCAGGCCAGGGAGTGCCAGGCAGGCCCCAAGCCCTCCCTCATTCCTGGGCCTGGGCCAGGAGGGTGGCTTCAAGCATGGCTCCTGCCCCACACCACCTCCCTAAACAGTGCTGCATGTGTAGGACAGCCCCATCATACTGGATTCCCCCTCCAACAGGATGCCTCAGCCACCACCAGCCCCCTTGCCTCCATGTCACCCAGCCCCATGCTCCAGGCCAGCCTGGGGGGCTGCCAGCACCCTGAGCTCCTTCAGGGCCCACCACCCTCACCTCTCCCTCCTCAGGGACCCCCGGGGCCCACTGCCCTCACCTCTCCCTCCTCAGGGCCCACCACCTCAGCACCCCCTGCTCCCACAACCCCCAGCTCAGCCAAGGCCACCATGCCCATCAAGGCAGCCCCATGCTCCTATTGGCTGTCACAGCCTCAGCTGTCCTCCCATTGGCTGCTGGGCGGCACAAGACCCTCCCTGCCACCACACCCCTGTACCACAGGGGCCTCTGCCCTCAGGGCAGCCATGGCCTGTGGTGGGTCCCTGCCCAGCCGCCCCCGGAGGGACAGCCCCCCCCCCTCAGTGCCCAGCAGACCCCCTTACTGGCACCCGGGTCGCCTGTTCACTGCCCTGAACACCTCCCCTTTGGGAGGGCAGCCATGTGGGCCCAGCTCCCTGCCTGCCACGGGGGGCAGAGGGCTGCGCCAAGCTGAGGGCTGCTTTCCGTCCCTCCCCTCCACCACCTCACCTGCCCAGGGTACTGCCGAGCGCTTGGAAGCTGCCGAGATCTCAGGGAGTGGGGAAATCACTACCTCGCCTCCTTTGGTGAGGGAGGCGGTTTGGGGAAAGCTGTGAAACGTCTTGCAGTAATTACTGGTTCATCCAAACTAAACGCCTTTTGTTTCTTTAAAGGGGAAAAACACACTACGCGCCATCGAATTATAAACTGCAGCTAGATATACTAATGGAATAACTCCTATTCGAGTGCTCAGGGTGAGAGAGAGCAGCTCCCCAAAATCCTTATGCACAACCTTGTATCTTTTTGGGCTCACAAATATGCAGCTGGCACCAAGCAGGAAGCTGGTGACAATGCAGCAGGACAAACACTGCACCAAAACACTTGCAAGGTGACCAGCTCCCAGGGGTTATGTGGATCCATTGTACATGATAGGTCTTTCCCCCCAGCATTTCACCTCCCTGAGACAAATGAGTAACTGACTATTTCAGCTTCTATTTAATATTTTTCCTCTTCCCAGAAGTCCCTTGCCCTCCATCATGAGGATTTCTATCAAAAGCCTGGCCACACACACCCTCTAGGTTCTGAGACAAAAAGGCTGGAACGAACCCTAGCTTTAGGTTGTTGGGGTTGGTTGGTTTTTTTTCCATCTTGCAGACTTTGAGCCAAGTTTGTGATGGAGGTATTTGACTCATCGTTTCTAACATTTTAGACTCCCAACAGTAAAGCACGTTAATCTTGGACTCATTCTGGCAGTAAATGTAACGTGACTCCTCGGGGCTACTGAGCTTTGCGACCGTTCCAGCAACCATCAAAGGGGAGACGGAGTTCTGGGAAAAACACCGACTGGCAGCATTTCGCCCTGCATGTCCTCCTGCCAGCAGCAGAGCCCGACAGCTTCATCCACAGGGCCGGGGAATGGCTGGGGTTAGAAGCCACCCAAGTCAGCCATACCCAGCAAACGCTCCACTAAACTGCTTCCTCTGAATCCCTTAAGCCTTCTGTTCGGTGTTCCTGGTTATGGAAGCTGAGGGCACCACTCCACATCTGATCTCTGCACAGTTAAGCTTCAATCACAGTTTCTCCACTGTTTCCTAATTGTCTGCCTGCCCTCCCACCTAAGCTGCCATACATACGCAAGCACTTTTTGCCAGCCGTTTTACATACGAGAGGAGAAAAAGCTCTCCAAGAAAGCCCTCGCAGGCCTTAGAAAGCATGATGTACTCACACAGGCATCCTGCTGAATGCACTGCAGGATGTGCTTGGCTGGAATCAGGAAGTCTATGAGGTAGCGCAGTCCATCCCCACGGTACGTCTTCTCCACCACATCAAAAACTTGGCACAGAACAGTGGCTGCGGTAGCCTCAAACGGAGGGTAGAGTGCTGATAACGTACTCTGAATGCAACCGTCCAGGGACTCCGAGTCCTGCCAAGAGAGAAAGCATTAGCAGTACCATGGCACAATACGCCCCAGTGCCCTCATGAGCCCTACACCCAGGAGCACAGCCATCTCCAAACGTAGGAAGAGAGAAGATCAAAGGAGCAAACTGCTGTCCTTTCTAGCTTCTTTTGGCACCACCAACTCCAGGTAAACACAAAAAAGCGCTCCCAAAACCCGAGCAGAGTGCTCGCAGAGTGCTGTGCACAGCGGCGAGATTTCCCAGCTTTTGCTTACGCAGCAAGTCCTTCTCCTGACTGCGCTGGGTGGGGCTGCTATTAAACCATTACCACAGCACGTGAGTGCGTGCAAGCGAGCGAGAGTTTCATGGGGTGGGCAGATCGGCGGGTTCCATGTTTCGGATACCAAGGGCTGGAGATGCTGGCCAGCACTTGGGTACATTAAAGCCCAGTGTTAATATTCTTCAGTGGGCTAAGGGGAGTTGCAGGGACAACAGTTGGGCTGAATCGCTTCAGCCTGCACAGGATAAGCTACTGGAGCTGTTTGGTACTGGAGAAAGCTGCTCACCAGTGCGATTCCTCATTATTCAAAGCTGTTTGGCTCTCATGAAAGGCTCACTCTGGGAGCCAGGAATTTTCTGCAGTGAGAGATGCCTCACAACAGGATCCGCAGCCTGCGTCTGAACAGGGTGGCCTTTGGTGCCTGAGCACGCGCATCAATACATAGGATGCCCGTTTCCTGTCCAGGGTTCAGAGGCAATGCCTTCCCTACTTTTCTAGCTTCTTTCTGGACAGCCTGCCAGCCAGAGCCTGCCTACAGTATCAGGATCAGTTCCAGTGCTAAAGGCCAAATTCTGATCTATTGCATGGGTGTAAGTCAAGAGAGCTTGCCAAAAACTAATAATAAAAAAAATAAATCTGGACACATCTGGAGACAGGATCAGGAACCCTCCTTTCCCTTCTGTTTTAGAGGGGACCCTCTGGCTAGCTAACAGCCAGGGGGAGTGAGTTTTGCCACAAAACCAAATGAAAGTTTACTCAGGTGTCTGGACAGATCCTCATCTGATCCAAATCCACCTCCCTTCACTAGAAACAAGAAAAGCATTTCAGCCGCTGGCCTACAGCCTCCTGCAGAACAGGAACAGCTGCATGGACATGCCTGAAAACATACCTCAGTCCCACAGCAAGATTGGGAGAGAAAGTTAAACAAAGCAGTGCCACAACAGTTTACACTGCCACCGGGGAACAGTAGGATGAAGGGGTCAGGAGGAAGCAAACCATTTTGCTTCTTCCACTCCAAGGGAGCACATGTTCATCACTCCAGATACTTTCACTGGCTTGAGAAAATGCAACAGTCTCAGAGCAAGCCTGAACTGACCTGCAGCCAGAGCAGAGGTGATGCTCCTCACGCAAGCCTTCCCATCTTTCGCAGCAAAACAATCTTTAAATTCCTCCTTTAGAGGGTTGGGTGTTTTAAGCACAATATAAACTCGCTGCTCTGTTGTAAAGCCTTCCTGTAGGACAGCCTGCGGGACTGCACAGGAGAGATTAGAACGCCCAGGCAATGCCTCCACAATCCCTGCCTGCACCAAGCTGGCAGAACGCGGGTGACAGGCAAACCACACACTGCCCGTGGCATGGCACTGCTTCATTACTGTTTCTCCTGATGTCAGCAACAAGCAAGGCTAAATGGCAGCAGGCTCCTGAGGTGTTTGCAACTCTTCCAAGAGACCAGCTGCCTCCTGCAATACCCCTTAAGGTCAATGCAACCAGATAAACAGAGGTTAAGGAGCTATTTTTCATATTCTTAACCCAAGGACTCAAAAAGCAGGAGCCCTATGTGCACACTTCCAAGCATTGAATGCTAGGACAAAGCATTTAACCCCAATCCTAAACGGGAGGAGAAGGCTGTTCTAAACAAGCTTCTTTCCACTTATAAAAGAAGAATATAAAATCTCAACTTTTATTCCATTAATTGAAATTAAAAGCCTGGAAGTTCCTAGGCACTTCCTTCTCTGCAGGAAAAGGTCTTCAGAGAAAAATCTTCCACTAGATACTGTGCAGATCAAGAGAAAACTGCAAAGAGCTGATAGTCAGCCTGCTTTGTGCAGCAGCCTGGAGCTCTCTGCACATTTCCGGTCAAGACCATCCCCATGCAGGGTATGAGGGAAGAACTCATCGGCGTTCAGGAAACATAAGAGAAAGCAGACCAATACAAACTGCAGGATGAGTTGTACAGACCCAAGACAACAGCCTAAAGAAATGTTCCCTTTACATTGTAACCTGGACCTGCTAAAAAGGCATGGAGGGGGCTGTAGGGTAGGGAAACAGGTACCAAGTCCACCATGAAGCCTCTTATAATTGGACATATTAATAATATTGCTAAGTATTGATATAACACACTGAACATTACACATCGTTCATCTCCCACACTCTTGTTAAATGACAGAGAGAAGCCAAGTGCAGCCATCTGAAGGCAAACGCAGCTCCAGTAACCTCTGTTGACACCAACCTGTCCCAGAAAGTACCTGTGCCCTTGTCAGATAAAACTGGCCTTCACACAGGTGCTCTCTGACCCAGCACCAGCCACCACAGAGAACCCAGCCAAGTGCTTGGGTGCTATCACAGTAGCATTACTGCTGGTAACATTTGACAACAATTTCCCTATGATCCTCCACAGTCCACAAGTTCAAAATATCAGTCAAAAACAGCTGGGGTTGGTTCTGTGCCACTTCTGCCCCCATACCCCGCTTGAGCAAAATTCTTTCAGATATCAAGCCTCCCCAAATGAAATTTGTTATGTTTACTATTGCAAATAAAACAAAGAAGTAAAAATATTTGCACGAGTCAGTGCATCACTCTAAGGTTCTCACACCATTCCTGCTGCCTTAGCAAAACCTTCACAAGACAATTATTGGCACCGAATCAAAAATCCTTTATATGGTTAAAATAAACCAAATTGTATATTATCCTTCCTTTAGTAAAATACAGAATAACCACAGCCTGTAGCCATTGCTAACTGTAGTTCAGTGCTAAGAGCACGCTCCTTAGCACAGAGGCTTTCTCTCTCTCTGGCTGGACTACACCACAAAGCCATGGTAGCTGTGCAAGCTTTGAAGGGACAGAGAGAAGGTTTCAACCCCTACCATTTGGTATAAAGAGGAGATGTTTTCACCAATCTCTCTGCTAATTCCATATAAAAAGCCCCCAACGTGGGAGCAAATTCATACATCCCATCATGCTGCATGTGACTGTAGCACCAGCATTCTTGGGCAGCTACAGAGCAAGGATGGATGCAGCCTCAAGTGTGCCGCAGATGAACACAGAGGCAACACTTGCTTTTCAGTGCTCCCACCACCCAGGGTGGTATTCTGGGGATAGGTCCTGCACAGGTGGCAGAGCCTCAGAAGTTACCTTGAAACACAGAGGGTGAAACATGGCACAGCTTGGAGCCTGCAAAAGCAGCAGATTCGCCTCTGATCACAGACTCATTAAACCAGCTCACAATCCTAGGGATGGGGCTGCTTATTTGTGCTAATTAACTTCTCAGATTGCAGAGTAGCCTGAGGAAAGGGCCTCAGCAAGGGCTGCAAGAAGCTGGCTGCATGGTCCTGTTTAACGCCGGAGCACAGACGGCCAGCCTCACACATCTAGCCTGCGGGCAGCGTCTGCTGCCACAAGTGTGGAGGAGCCATGGTTTAGAGGCACAGGGAACTCGTATGAACCAGCTCAAGACAGCAAGAGAAGGGGATAGCATCCTGTGCTCCAGAGGCTGATAAACCTGAAGTCTAGAGCCCGCCCTACCTACAAACCACACCCCTTACTTATCTCAAGCAGGCAATGCAACCCCCAGCAGGCATGAGGAAAAAACCTCTGCGACCCAGGATGGGGGGACAGCTTCTGGAGAGGAGGAGAACAAGCTAAACCCAGCAAGAATCCAAGGAGAGGGCACTCCTGCCCTGCAGGCTTCCACTTCAGCCAGCCTATAGCAGCCCCCAAGAGCTGGCAGAGCCCAGCACAGGAGCCTCCTGGAGAAAGCAGCCTCCTTCAGGGACTGCAAATTTCAGGCTTCTCTGTCTCCAACAGTATTGCCACATACCCCTCACGGGAAAGGTCCTGGACACTTGCTCCTTTTCAGCCACCCAGCACAAAGGCAAACAGGAGCGCTTTCCAACCAAGCCAGAGAGTATCTCCCCAAGCAAAATGTGTCTTGGGACTCAAATGCTTCTTTGTCAATAGCACGGGAGGACCTATGAACTCCAGCTCCCTGCCATCACTCCGCAACAAGCTCACCACACCTCCCGAAAGAAAAACATGCTTTTAAAATAACTCCTCTATAAATCAAGGTGCTAAATAAAGCCCAGGTTAAGGTCACGTCCGGCCATACCGGCTTTCACTGCTCCTCAGCTGGGAGCCGGCTGCCGGTGCAGGGGCTGGAGCACACAGCGAGGGAAGAGGAAAGAGGCATGTGGGGACAGGCTGGACTCTGCGGGCAGAGCTGTATGATGGGAACAACCCAGCATGGTTCCACCAGGGAGGGCTGGGGAGAAGGGAAAGCCCAGGAGGGTTTCACACCTGGCAGAGAGCTTGGGTCAGAATGGGGGCAGAAATGAGTGGGGTGCCACCCCGCTGATATAACGGGAGCCACAGATGCTGTGAAATGAATAAAGGGATAAAGACTGCTGCGGCAAAGCTCTGCTGCTCAGTCCTAAGAGCCTCTCTCCCCATCACAAACTGCAGCAAGAACCAGGACTCAGCAAGAGATGAGGTTGCAAGTGCCTGGGCAGAAGCCCCAGGCCAGGACTAAGAAGCAGGCAGCAGGAAGAGGAGCCCAGGATCAGTTACAACCCTGCTCAGGGGACATGCATACCTCTCCTGGTGCAAGCAGCTGCTGCAGGATGGGAGAGGAGCCTGTCAAGAGGCATCTGGAGTAACCAGGAGCTTCTTGGGCTTTTCTAGATACACCGATTGAATTTTCAGCCTACATTTGTGGGCACAGAGAGAGCTACATAGCAGCTCCAGCCACTG